TATATATATATGAATTAAAAAAAATGTACATGCATTAAAAAAGAAATGGATTATTTGTGTTTGAGGGGGGGGGTTCTCATCGACTATCGAAAGGCATCATAATAATTATACATAAACATCAATATGGTATAATAATTCAACCAATTTGGATAAAATAAGCTCTCATACATCTTCTCTAAAGAGTCAAATCAAGTAACAAATGAGCTGAATAAAAAATATCATGTACTTTTAGGCCCCTTATTGTTTTACAACCAAACAAATTCCTCTTTTGCTAATTTGTTTGTATGTCATAAAAAAGATAATGATTTTCTTACCATTTATTAACATTTTAGCACCTAAGATCACTATGCAAGGATTAACATCATGGATTTAAATTATTGAAATTATCATGAATACCATGCGACTTCTAGCCACTATCGTTTTGGATTCCTACTTTTCACTCCTTGAGTAGTTGGCAAACCCATGTCTTGAGGATTCAACATCTACAGCTTGAAGATTTGTTATCTCATAAGCTCATTGTTTTCTTCCTATTTCCCATTGATTTTCACAATTCAAGTATTGATTATGCATAAAAAAAAAAAGAAAAAAAAAATGTATTGATTATGCACTAGTTTTCATCAATTTTGCTCTTAAATACAATAATTCTAAGCACATACTTATTAATGCAATTCTTTCTCATAGTCGCCCACTCTCTCTTACTCCCCGCCCCCCAAAAAAAAGACATCATAACAATTATGCAAAGGAAATAATAAAATTATCGTAAAGCTTGTTACTTTAAGATTAATGAGCCATAAGAAGTAATTTTAGAAATTCTCAATTGATGTTTTGCTTTGGCATGCAGTCACAATTTTAGGAGACGAAACAACTTAAAATAACATCAAAAAATACAATAAAACTAAATCTGCTGTAATAAAAATCCACAGGTTAATATTGAGAGCTTTTCACCTAGAGTTTACTTCCTCACTCACACTCGATGAACGGTGTTAGTGGAGAGAGATTTTCAGTAAACCAAACGATGCCACTATGAGAGTTAGATGCCTACGGTCTTGATCCACGGGAAAGTAGCCGGAGGAGGCGCAGGTGGACATTCGACGAGTTGCCACTGTCTGGATGGTCGTTGTTCGTCGATCGTCTTGACTAGATGAAATAGTATGCAGTTAACGTAGTCTTTGACGGAATCTTCAAATTCCCAGTCGGGGTCGAAGAATGGTGACTAAAGGATATCAATTTGTCCTTGAGAATCGTACGCAATTCTGTGGTCGACTTCAGGATCGGCCATCCATGAATATGGGAAACTTCTTTATTTTGAACCTTGGGGGAGCCGGCGGTTGGTGAAGGTAGAAGGGAGGGAAGGAGCCGGCAGTGGGATTCTCGGGTAGAGAGGTAAAGGGTGGGGACGGCTAGGGTTTAGGTTAGGGAGGTGGGGAAAAGGTCTTAGAAAATCTGAAGTTTATTTCAGAATTTTCTAAGAGAAGAAAAGGGAATAATTTAAACTCTAGGGGCCGGCGATTTAAGAGGAGTTTATGGAGCATTTAATTGGAATTAGGGAATAGATTGGAGAGAGAAAAAGAAAGGGGAATGGGGGGGATCACATGAGGAGGGAGGGAGAGGTCTAGATTTAATGTATGTGGGCCCTTGAATTAAATTAAGAATTGAAATCAAATCCGAATTTAATTTGAGATTTGATTTAAATAAAGGGATTTCATAAATTATTTTATCAATAAGGACAGTGATTAAATTCAAATATTAATTTGAATTTAAGTAGGAAACTTTCCTAATCAATAAGGGGCTATTTTAGAAAAGTGAATAAAGGGAATTTGAATTTTGAATTTCAAAATTCATGGGGGGATT